AGCATTGCTTTTTTATTTTATTAAAAAATCAAAACTATATCTAAAATTCAGAAATGTATCTCCATTTGCACTTTAATTACATTCATTTTTGATTCGGACTCGAATACTATGTCAAGAAAGATTATGGAATTACATCTTCGTATACTTTATGAAAATATATCTTTGGACGCTTTTTTAATCAAAAACACTTCAGACCCTTCTTGTTTTTCATTTTTCAAAATAGTCTCTCAAAATACTCAAAATCTTTCAACTCTCAAACTCTCTCAACTCACGTTCTCTCAAACTCATTCTACTTACTTCAAAGTTTCTACCATCAACATTCAATCCATCAAAGAGATTATTCAACATCAAACAAAACTCACACATTTGTAAAAGTCGAACATTAGACTATGTAATAGATAATTTAGATATGTTATTTAGATAATTTATATATGTTATTAAATGAGTATTGTGTTTAATTATTGTTGAAATGTCATTCATGCTGGTATAATCCAAAGAGATAGGAATATCGTTCTGGAATGAAATTAATAAACTGGTAACGTATGAGATAAGAGTATCATGTGACAAATACACACCACAGTATCGTTGCTTTATTAAGCGAGCAACATCATGTCATAAACATGGTTTTAATTAATGCATAAACACGGTAATCAAAATGCCACAATGGAAAACAGTAGAAATTAATTCAACTGAAACATTATCAAATGCAATGAACAGAACTTCCTTCACAAAATACTAAACAAATTGATATTGAAGTTAAAGGATGTCAAGTACCAAGAAACTCTTGCATGTAAGAAAACAGGAGATCAAGCCGTAACTAGCATCTACAAGAAAAGCTAGATCATAGTTTAAAATTTAAATATTCAAGATGAATCATCCAAATAATCTCTCAAATATTACAATATAGCCTAAAAGAGAACTAAGTTAAAAGTAAAATACAAGAGAACCTAAAAATATAATGGGTACGTACAACCACATGAAATCTAGGTTTCCATCACAGCATGACATCTAGGTTTCCATTTTCACAAGTGCAGTCACAGATTCGGGTGCTCCATACTGCATCCAATCCTTGGCACAAATAAGTGCTTCCACTGTCTCATGACGCAAGGAACTTCGATACTGATCCATTTCTTTGCTCGTTTTATCAAAGACTGAGTCATGAGGAATAGTAGAAACTGGAATAGACAATATGTCTCGGGCCATCCTAGACAATGTGGGGTACTTCAGTTTATTTAGCTTCCACCAACCTAATACATCAAAGTCTGGCACTCGCGGCAATAGTGATTCTTCCATATACTGATCCAATTCGGACTTCGTTTGATGGGTAGAAGTTTCCATTATGTAGACATCAAAGTCTGTAAGACCATTATCTGACAACAAAGTTCCTCCCGGGGATCCTTCCATCTTCGTGTTACTTCCAGTATGTCCTTCTTCCGCATATGCCTGTGGCAGAGGAAGGGTTGCATACTCGTGAAACAGCTCATGAATTCCGTCATCAACAATCTTGACATACACATGAGCATCCTCACCATATATTTTTGTGAAACTGAACTCAACAAGCTTCATCTTGAAACGAGGATCCATAACTACAGCAATCACCAAAGCCAAACTACAATCTCTCCAATACTTATCAATCTTTTCATGCATGGGTTTAGTAAGGTTGCTAATGAAGGGATCCTCATTCATGACAGCACGAGCAAGATCCAAATGTAATTTCCAAATTTCATGAAAGAATGTAATAGCAGTGGGATAAGTTGGTGTCATAAGAATGTTTGCTGCATCATAAAGGGGTTTCAAATATGCGCAAAGGATCTCAACAAGCTTCCAATCTTGAACAGACGGGGTTCCTTTGTAATCAGGATCAGAAGTGTCTAAACAAGAAAACACTTCCTTCAGTTCAGAAGCTGCAACCAACATTTGATATGTTGTATTCCATTTGGTTTGGTCATCAATAAAAAGGCTCCTTTCACTAGGTACCTGAAGGTGCTGCTTAAGATCCATGAATTTTTCCTCACGTGATTCTGAAGTCTTCACATATTTCACACTTTCTCGAATTTTATTGACAATGCCTTGTGCTGAGCCCAACAAATCATAAGCAACATTGCTTAAAGTACGGGCAATGCAACTTCCGATTAGCAACTGGCCATTGAAGATAAGTGGATCCTTCACAGAAAGTAGAGGTCTGAGATTCTCAATGGTGCCTTCAGTCAGTGGCTGATTACATGTAATAGTAAATAACCTTCCCTCCAAATTCCAATCAGAAACGCAGACAGATACAGCATGGCTGAGAGCAGAGTCAGAATCAGGGTATGGTTCCATCACGACATTGAGAATTCTCCTCTGCAACTTCCAATCACTATCAACAAAATGTCCTGTGATAAACACATACCCTACAGATTGACTCGAGGTCCACATGTCTAGCGTCAGACCAATGCGTCCCGGTAATTCATCAAAATACTTCATAAGGCTTTGCTTTTCCGTCAGGTAAGTTGCGACACAGTCTCCTTGAATAGTATTAAAGGACACCATGTTGAACTGGGGTTGCAGATTTTGAACAAATGCAACAAATCCTGGATGCTCAACCATGTGAAGGGGGTAATCATGCATAATGATCATCCTAGCAATCTCTTGACGGCAACGATCTTGATCAAAAATCATGTAAGGTGTGCTAGCAGTTCTATAACGCCGTTTTGGTGTATTGCTGCTAGCATTGCCAGCACCACTTCCCCTTGAACGCGGGGTATATGGGGCATACTGATTTGGATCTAAACTTCGCAGAAGAGCTGGGCATGCCCCTTTGGCAATGTGCCGTTTAAGGTGGCTGGTACCAGCAACTTTAGGTCCAGTACTGTAGGCAAAAGTTTGCTTGCATTCCTTGCAACAAGCCCTTCTACAGTCAGCACTAACTGTTTCTATGGTGAAGTGTTCCCAGACTATAGACTTTTTTTTCCTCCTCTTATTCGGCTGTGTCTCTGGGGTATGTTCTTCATTGTTTAGTGGAGTTTCAGCATTTACTATTTCATAGCTGGGAAAATCGTTAGCATTGACTATCTCATAGTGTGCTTGAGAACTGATCTGATTGCTGTGAAATGTTTCACTATTTGCCAGGTCATAGTGAGTCATCATTTGGGAATTGGCTAGCTGATCATGGGTTAGTGTTTCAGAGTTAGCCAACTGATGGTTGGCCAGTGCCTCATGATGGTCCAGATGGTTGTTCGGCAGTGAATCATACTCTTGCAAGTGATTATGGGATACTGGTTTGACATCTGTGTTGTGACTGTCTGCCACTGGGTCAGAGTGATGCGGCGATTCAGCATTAGGCAGTGATTCAGGTTGAGGCAGTTGATCTTCAGGAATCATATGGAGATTAGCATACTGATGACTATCCAGAAGAATTTCTTGATGGGAGATCTGATTATTAGGATACATTGTTGAATTGGTTAACTCATTCTCAGGCCGAGCTTCAGTTGCAACCACATCATTGCTGATATCTGCTTCGTGCATTACAGTCTCATTACTGATTTGTTCCTCATACATGACAGACTCATTATTGGGTTGTGTCTCAGACATGACTGCCTCATTGTTAGGCTGTGAGACAGACACAACTGCATCATGGATGATCCCTGCTTCGTGCATGACAATCTCATTGTTGTGCTGTGTGTCAGACATGACTACATCATTGTTGGGCTGTGTGTCAGACACTACTGCATCATTGCAAACCCCTTCATGAATGACAGTCTCATTGTTGGGTTCTGTGTCAAACACAACCACATCATTGCTGATTTGCGATTCATGTATGACAGTATCATTACTGGGCTGCGTGTCAGAAAAAACCGCCTCACTGTTCGGCTGTGAATCAGATATGACCACCTCACTGCTCTGCTGTGAGTCAGACATTACCACTTCACTGTTGGGCTGTGCTTCAGACATGACCACTTCATCATTGCCATGTGTTTCCAATACAACCACCTCAGTGTTGTGTTGTGCTTCACAAACAATAGTCTCATCAATGTGTTGTGTTTCAGATACATGCACCCTCTCATTGTTGTGCTGTTTTTCAGATTCAACCAACTCATCTCTATTTTGTGTTTCAGATGCAACCACCTCATCGCTGTGTTGTGCTTCATTACTTGTCTGCAGTTCAGACTTAACCACGACATTCTTGTCAGTAGTAGCTTCAGAGCCAACAAGCACATCATCAGGTGCAGCTTCAGAGTTGTCTATCGACGTATCAAGTGTTGCCTCCAAATCAATTGGCTGGTTGTCTTCTGCAGCACCAGCATTGCCAACCTGGTTGTTATGCAGTGATTCAGAATTCTCCAGCTCATTTTTCTGACATTCTTTTGTGTTGTCTAACTCATCTGCATTCCCATCAGTAGGCAGGGTTTCAGATGTAGAAAGTCCTTCATTAGAGTGTGCTCCGGAATCGCAGAGATCCTTGATGGGCTGTGACTCCAAATTTTCCACATTATTGTAAGACAGGATTTCAGATTTTTCAAGACCATTGTCAGGTTGAGAGTCAGTACTGATCGACTCATCTTTTACATCAGAGGTGGCCACTAATTTGTCTTCTTCGATAACATCCATCTTGTCGGCAGCGATCGACTCATCTTTTACAACCGAGGTGGCCACTAATTTGTCTTCTTCAATAACATCCATCTTGTCGGCAGCGACCGACTCATCTTTTACATCAGGGGTGGCCACTAATTTGTCTTCTTCAATAACATCCATCTTGTCGGCAGCGATCGACTCATCTTTTACATCAGGGGTGGCCACTAATTTGTCATCTTTAATAACATCCATCTTGTAGGCAGCAACCGACTCATCTTTTACATCAGGGGTGGCCACTAATTTGTCTTCTTCAATAACATCCATCTTGTCGGCAGCGATCGATTCATCTTTTACATCAGGGGTCAACACTACTTCACCTTCTTCAAGGGTAGCCATCCTATTAGTATATGTCCTCCTGCCTTACCCGGAAGAAATAAATAATTGTGCAATCAATTACAATTACACAGGTATGTGTGTGAAGATAACATGACATCAGTAGGGCATGAGGAATAAAAATATAAATCATCACAAGAAAAATATACAGACTTTAAATAAACATAAACATATATTGCAATACATAATACATTAAAGAAGGGAAAAAATTTATTTTTTACATATATCATCTGGAAAATGTATATAAACATATTTTAAAATACAAAGCCTAATAATACAAAACTAATGCATGAAAACAACAAATGTAGTTCGTTTCCTCTCTTCACTATTTCACTTCACATGGCTGGCTTGTGCGGGTAAACTACTGAAGTCCAAAGAAGGTTATATTAAATATTAACGAATGAATAACATAAAAATGTTCTCATCATATATCCTAACATGAATCACATTTCATTGTCAGAGAAAGAAAAAAAATTGCATTAGTAATACCCCCAACCCAAGGACACTAGTAATACCCACAATCCGTAAATTCATTATTATTTATCCAAGTGTGTATTTACGTTTAATTCTACAACATATATAGTCACAAACGTAACACATTGGAATGGAATGGAATTGTAATTCAAGTCATTAAGCCCTAATATACACAACTCTCAATGAACCCAAAGGATAATTGGGCCTATTATTTGGTCAGATAGGCCCATCTCAATAAGAACAACCCAACAGTCAAACAGTAGAAGTACATAGATCACAAGCACTTCCCAGTACCCAGAGCCCGCGTGATGTAATAATTCAAGCTTAAACTCAAAACTGGTTTCAATTAATCACTACTATATATACATAAAAAATCACACTACAATTGGATGAATAAAAAGAGAGGCAATCCATAATCGATCTTACTAGTTTCAACTAAACACAGTTTTCGAGAAAGCAGACTAATAACGACTTGCAATCAAAAGCGATTATCGAGAAACAAAGAGTAAAAGTGAAAAGAGATTCAGATGAAGAGAATTCTCAAAATAATCCACAAATCAGAATATTTGAGTTTGAGATCTACCAGCGGTGTCGACGGAATCTGACTGGAACGCGGCTCGGCGGCGCCGTGCGGCGTGACGGAAGCGAGATCTAGGGTTTTGCAGGAGAGAGAAAGAGATTGGGCTTGGGAAGGAACCCGATGCTAATTGGACCTAAAGCTATAGAGGGTCGTATGGCTCGTTGTGTTTTGATAAGGTCTTGTAAAGATATAAAGTAGAACAAGGTCCAATATTATTTATTTATTCAATTTCTTATTTTTGGCGAAATAATTTATTTTGTATAGTTATTACTTTAGTAAAATTGCTCTTTTTCACCTTTAGGTGAATTTCATATCTTTGCAAATTCGAAAAATAGCCTTCAAGCATTTGTAATGCATTTAAAATCATATTGCATATTCTTCTTCGTGCTCAAACAACACTTTATTTTCAAAATCCTTAAAAAATATCTTTCATTCTCAATCAATTTGTCAACACCAAAATATTATTTTTGTATTTCATCACTTTAAAGGGGACAAAACAAGTTGGAATTTCATGTAAAGTTCATTCATTTCATCACTCATTCTTTTCATTAATTTGGCTTTTTGAACATAACAAATTAACGTTGAATCTAGATATGCATCTCCGGATCAAGTTTGGTGTGGTCCGGACATACATCTTCGAATTGTCCAGATAGTTTGAGTTGCCACACTATTTTTCTATTATTAGTGGTATTAGATATGGTGCACTTGGATATATTTCCCAAAGCTATTATGAGTATGAATGTTAAACTGGTCGAAGTGAAGCATAATGTTAAATCGAATAAAGTGAATGATGGTGTTAAATCGAGTATTCAGCCGATTGTTGTCGAGGTAGATATTTGTGCATAATTTACAAATTAACAAAAGTTTCTTGTTCATGAACATATGCTACAGTGGATTCGCATGGAGGCAGGGAAATTAGGGCTTGTGGTTGTAATCTGAAGGTCTGACAATGGTTCGGATAGAAGACAAACATTTGTAATAATGAGATGCAAAAGAAGTGTCACGTATCAACCATAAATTAGAAAGTTAAAACGAGATGACACTGGATCGAGAAAATATGAGTGTCTATTTAAATTGTGTGATTACTGTATAACTAATAACATGTGGAAATTTAATATAATTTTGGGTATACATAATCATGCCTTGACTGACAAGCTAGTCGGTCCTCTTATTGTATGTCGTCTTGTTCTAGAGGAGATAGAACTTGTTTCAGACATGACATTAAACATAGTGGTGTCGAAAATATACTCAAATTTTTGAAATGGAAAAGACCTCTAAATATTTCAAATATCAAACAAATATATAATGTGCATTCTCAAACACCAAGGCGTTAAAAAGACCAATACCTAAGACATAAAAACCAAAATGAATACATATCCCCATCTTGCTTTTGTGTATTTCAATGACGTAAATCCCACACTTCACTTTAGGGTATGCAAGAACATACTTCTCGTTAATCTGAAATCCAAACTGAATAGTCTCCTGTGATATCCAAAAAAATTGAGAGTTGTCAAGCTCGAGTACCGTTCATCCTCGATTAACAATGAGGGGAATATACGGTTCACCATACTTGAACTGAAGACAGAAGATGGTTTAAAGGTTATATGGAGTACCATTTAGCGTTACTCAATAAAGGGTCTGATTGAAGTGGATGCGACGATTGCAATATCAATCAAAGATATTCTAAGATGTTGCAACATCATGAACCACCCGTTGGTAATGACGTGTAATGTTAAATTTATGTTAATATTAAAAATTATCTATGTAATGTTTATTTTTATCTTAATTTATGTTGATTTTTCATTCGGCCATTGTTCATGGTTGTTTCTGGTTTGAACTAAAAAAAATCATACTTTGGAGATGCATCTCCGAAAAACACACTGAATATTAAACTAAGGGACGTTACGAAGATGTGTCTCCAAATTAAACTTGTATGCATACGGAGTTGCATCTCCGGACTAAAGCTTAATAGAATAAGGTGATGAAAGACTTTTAGTGAGGTAAGTATTGTTTATATCGTCTCCACATGGATTAGTGTGATATCACTAGTGTTCCACAATTAATACAATTTTAAGGAAAGATTCATAAAAGTTTTGATTTGGTAAAGTAACAACTTGTAATAAAGTATAACGATGATAAATGTTTAAGAAATTAATGATTAGAGAAACATGTCAGAATTAGATTTCATCAACCTATTTCATATGTATTCAAACTATCTAGCATGTGAACATAATTATTAATCGTTATTATCATGTATCACTCTTCAACACCGCTTATGTCTAACTGATGATGTAAGTTTTACCGTATTGTTTAGTTGATGATCTTTCTACCTATTAAGCAATACAAGTGAATATCAAACTCCAAATCTATATCTAGACTTTAGTCTTTGATAGATGATGATCTTAGGTCAAGACTTGAAAGATATTTCTCAATAATGATTCAAAAGAAATACATACGAGCATGGTTAATTACATCCAATCTAGACACAAGAGAATTAGCTACACATCATCATGGTAGCTTGCTTTACAGGAAAAGAGAAGAGATGAATAAGTACCAATGTTGAGAAGTCGACTATTGTTGTATATTCAGCTCTCATTCCTTGATTCTGAGTTTTTATATGGTTCTTGGTGTATTTCTCTCTCAAAGTTGGTGTCTAGGGCTAAAAATCTGAACTGAAATGCCTTTTATACAATTCTGGAAAACCAGACCGTGTTAGGCGCCAACAGGGCTCACTTAGCGCGACTAGAAAACAAAAGGGAGAAAACAGTCTTAAACGACGCTTAGCGAAGGTGAGGGGCGCTTAGCGCCCTCACGCTACAAATTCGCACTTGGTGCGAACATCTATGGAATTCTAACTTCTGATGGCGCTTTGAGTGCACTTAACCCCACCCGCATGATTGCTTTTGATCCAAAAATACATGTTGAAGTCATTTCTTTGCCTTTTAATTCCCAAAGCTCCTACAATGCAAACCTACCTACAAAATGAGTTACAAATTATCACACTACACAATGTTTACATAACAAAACTATAAAGCTATATTTACATAAAATTTATGGTTTTGCCTTGTAAATCCAATGAATCAAGTTAAGAAATGTCACTATTTTATATAAATATTCAACACAAATTGACACTTATCAACTCTCCCCAACTTAGAACTTTGTTTATCTTCAAACAAGAGTCTTACAAACCTAAAGATACAAGAGCAACTTTTAAGACATTTCATGATCAAACAAGTTTTGAGAAAAGAAGACAAATACATGGTTCAAAATTTCAAAAGCACAAGTAAGGTCATGCTTACCATTATAATATAACCAAACCATGATTATGAAACAAGTTCTAAACACAAAACTCATGTCAAGCATTCCAAAACAACACATGCTCAATTATGAATCACACCTAGCACACATCTTCATCAATGGATAAAGAACAAAAATGAGGGACTTGACTCACACCCAACAATCTTGCTAACATCTTGATCAACTTATGCACTCGTCAAAGAAAATCATATTGAAAGCATAAAAGCACAAATCACAAATCACAAAGGACTTTCAAGGGTTGTAATGTAGCATGGTTAACAAAGAAGGGTCATATCTCAAGGTAATTGAAACAAAGTTACCAAAATCTAGGAGAACATTCACTACTTAATTTACTCTTTTCTTTGTTTAAAGGTTACACCTTTTACTCACATTATTTGGCACAAAATGGTTGCCACTTTTTCTTTCATCTTTTTCCATCTAATTTTTTTCTTTTGTTTTTCTATTTCTTTTGTTTTTCACATTTTTTTATTTCTTTTCCAAAGTCTCAGCAACCCACTTTTTTCTTCCCAACTTGAATACAACCAACATTGTAACATGAATGCTCCCCTGTTTTCTAAGGAAAGGAACAAAATTCTAACCACAAATGATGATTGATGGTTCAAGTGTTTCAAGAAACAAATTCAAGATTCATTCAGAAATCAATGATGAACTAATTCTTTAAGAGCAATTTTCACAGTTCAAAACTGATGTGGATCCTGACACTAAGGCTCAAAGGGGTTAACAAATTCTCTCTCATAAGGTAGGTCATTTTTGGTCAAGTGGATGTGCTCAAAAAAATCGTCTTGATCATTTCCTTACTTTCATACAATTCAACATAAATGAAAGATTAAACATAACTCAACCGAGTTAAAATGAAGAATTGTTAGTCTTCTGTGCATA